GGGTAAATTGACAGTCAAGTCAAGCCTCCTCTGAAAAAAACCCCAAAAAATTAAAGGCATAGCGTATCAATGTACATGTAGCAGATGAAAGCAAGAAAATTCAGGGAGGACAGAAGAGTGGTCTCATTCCCTTTCATGCAGAGTATTTCAGCAGGAAATGTAGTTTCACTACATTTAAGTAAAAGATCAGTCACCTTGGCCAGCAACTTGAGAAAAAAAAAAGAAAGAAGAAAGCCCAAACACATAGACAACACAGATTTAAACCCAGAATTGTTTTCTCATATCAGTACTAAAACAGGCTTTAAAAGGGTGACAACAATTCTTGGTTGGACAAGATGATGAGTCTGTGGGGTCAGAAATCAGGTTTGGGCAAATCCTGAGCCTGTAGAAACTCTCACTGTTGTACTGAATGCGAGATGGTCACTCAGGCAAGTTTAAAATAATCTTAGTTGTTTATACCTCCTGGGATGTAAGGAATGTCTATGATAGGTGGCTTGAGATTAACCTCCTCTTACTATAACATAATGATAATTGATTTAAAATTTATCTTAGAGAATTGAAATTTGACTGATATATTTTCTTTTTTAAAGCAGCATTAGTATTCTCTTAAAGTCAGGTTGTAAGATCACAAGTCTTTTGCCATAACTCTGTTTTCAGTGTAGTACAATGAAACACTTTGCCAAAATACATAAATTCTTAGAGATGTATTTTAATCTACATGCCTATTCACTAGACACTTCTATCAAGTCTCTCTTGGCAGCAACAGCACCAAAGGGATTTCTACATTTTTCTCTCATTCACTGTGGAGGAAATTCATAGAAGAGACCTATGTTAATTAGACCTAAAGAGTCTGATAAAATATTACTATTATTAATACCAGTACAGGAAAAAAAAAAAAAAGAAAGAATCCAAATGAGCCAAGTGTCTCAATATTCTTCATTAAATTAAAAAAAGTATTTAGGTAGGTAGGTAGCTAGCTAGCTAGACAGACAGATAAACTAAAAGCAAACCTTCCCACCATTGTCTCTATCACAATATCAGAAATCAAGTCTCTTGTAAGATCAAGGTACCCAAATTACCATTTTTGAAAAAAAAGCTAACATTCTTTACAGGCTAACAAGGTTAATATTTTTCTCAAACTCACATTTTTCTTACAATTTTCTATTGTACTGCAAAACTGAAACAAAAAAAGAGCAAAGCATTCTTCAAAGATTCTGGCAAAAATACTGACTTAATTGAGTAATTGGCATTTAAGAGATTACAAATCTGAGCTAAAACTTCACTACTGCCATCACAGTGAAAACATAAGTGACTTGGGTTCAGCTGAAGAAAGAATTTACATTTATTTCACTACTTTGAGATTACTGCAGACATTTGGTAACAAAAAAGTGAAAGATTACTGCAATGCAGTTTTTGACAGATAATACTTCCTGTCGAGACAGAACAGAAAGAACTGTAGAGCTTCAAGATTGTAATCGTTTTGTACATTTCTACCCACAAAGTACTTCTTTAGGCAAAATATTTCACCCCTGCAGCTGCTACCCCTTAGATGTACTGCCACCCTTCATCTTCATCCTCCTACCATCAGGAAGAAAGGAAGAAATGACAAGGCAAAGTTTTCAACCTTAAAACAAGAAAGTTTTATACAATATAGCAAGAACAGATAAAAGAATCCCATGTGCATTATGAGTTTCTGCAATTATATCAAGACTAAGATATTTTAAGTTGCTTCCTATCTCAAATCAGCATTAAAGGCACACAGGCATTTGCAAAACTGCGTTATAAAACAAATACAGATTTATATGAGCTTTTGCTAACAGATGTCTCCCAACAGGGGTCAATGACAGGTTGTTTTTCCCCAGCCCAGATTTGCAATCTGTTCTTATCTGATTCAGTATCTTATTGTGTCGCTGTTCAAAAGAATCATATGTATTTTAAACACCAAGAAACAAGATCAGGTAAGACAAAGGCTTTGTATGAATCTCTAAAGCTGTGGTAGCTTTGATCCAAGTTCATCTGCACAACCTTCATCTGAAAGACAGAAGCTTGAGTAAAGTAAAACTGATTGCAAGGGACAATACATAGATGCTATTCCAGATAAGGTGATATGTCTCAGGGAAATAGACAAAATTTACAAGGAAAAAAGGGGTGTAAGAACTCACATGCATATGACAGGCTTTGTGAGGTTTCTTTAAGGAAATAAGGGTTTGAGATTTTATTAAAAATAATAATCCATCAGAAGGAGCAGCAGACAAGATTGGAAGCTGATTTTTAGAGCTGACAGGTAAGCATGAGAAAGACTTCTAATAAAAGCTTTCATCCCTGCAAAAAATTAACCAGAACAAAATCAAGGCCAGCTTGTCACCCTAACTTAAATCTTATGAATTTTCACAAGTTGAAATAGAGAGATACATTACAGATAGATGAAGACAGAAGCAGTTATTCCATTTCCACATAGGGAGTCTGCTCTAAAGCCATGCCAAGTATTGCTTTGTAAGATGAAACACTTGCACACTCCCCTTTAATCAATAGATTACAATACTCCTACAACAGTTCTAGAGAACTACAATTAGTAAAAACTAATTTAATTTTGAATAGAATGAAAACAGAGCAAAATTTTGAAAATTAAGGCTCACTTAACAGGACATTAGGATTTTAGGTGCCTTTGTGCATGGCACCATCTAAGCAGGCACTTTTGGTACTCATGCAGCACTTAGGAAAGTCAGGTCCTCAAAATATTGCAGTTTGGAGGAAAAAAACCAAGTAATTAATACACAAACTGAATTCCTGTGCTTGTATCTTGAATTTGTTCTTTTGTAGTTTTGAGCACATATACAATTTGGCAGATATAACCACTATATTCATCTAATGCTTCCTTAGTCAAATCTGATTCGGCCTACAGAACTTGTATATTTTTAGTGTTTATTTATATGTTTTAAAAATATTTTTATATATTATTTCCACAATATTTATATATATTTTTAGCTTTCAGTCAGTGACTGCTGTCAACTTTGCTCACTTCAGGATCACAGCAGATCACCATGCTTTGTCTAACACGGACCATTCCTCCCCCAAGCACTGTGTGACTGCCAACTTTGAGTCCATATTTGTTTTTAAATTAAGAGGAACAAGTGGGTGAGCAAGGATTTTGTTTCACAAGATCAATTAGGCTGGAAAAGACCACTGAGATCTTTTGAGACTCTGACTAAACACCACTACATCAGCTAGACCCTGGCACAAAGTGCCATGTCCATTCTTTCCTTAAACACCTCTGGGGATGGTGACTCCACCACTTCCTGGGCAGTCCATTCCAATGTCTAATAACCCTTTCTGTGACATTCCCCCAAATGCCCAACTTAAAACTCCCCTGACACAGTTTAGGCTACGTTAACTTGTCCTGTTACTTGTTACATGTGAAAAAAGACTAACCCCCATGTGACTACAATCTCCTTTCAGGCAGTTGTAGAAAATGATAACGTCCCCAATGAGCCTTTTTTTCTCCAGGCTAAAAACCCGCAGTTCTCTCAGCTGCTCCTCACAGGACTTGTGCTGCAGACCCTTCCCCAGCTGCGCTGCCTGCTCTGGACACACTCCAGCCCCTCAATGTCTTTCTTGTACCAAGGAGCGCGGAACTGAATGCAGTAATTGATGTGCACCCTCACCAGTTCCGAGTCCAGGGGGACTGCCCTGCTCCTGCTGGCCACACTATTGCTGGTACAGGCCAGGATGCCCTTGGCTCTCTTGGTCACCTGGGCTCACTGCTGGTTCATGTTCAGCCAGCGGTCCACAAGCACCTCCTGACCGTTTTCCGCTGCTGTCACGCCATGGAACCTCCATGCTCCCGAAGTACGAGTGTGCTGGTGCCAGCCGCCCCTCCGGCAAGGGGCGAGCAGCAGACGCAGCGAGGCGGCCCCGACCCCGCCGCCAGGCCGGGGGCTCCAGGCCGGGTGTGAGAACCCCGGGTTTGGTCTGGGGTCTCGTGTGGTGGTAAAGCTTCTCCTCCAACCCGTGTTCCCAAAGAAAAACTCCGCAGCCTCTTCTTGTTCGGTCTCAAGATGATTTATTGCTAGTTATCTAACAGATTAAGTTCTCGGGCTGCAGCCCTTTGGTCAGCGGCCCAGGCAGAGACACACACACTCCTGACACCCTGACTGTCTGGTGTCTTCTTCTTCTCTCTCCCCGCCCAGGGCTGCTGCTATCTTTTATAAGATATATTACGTATAACATGTTTACAATTATTCCCCAATACCTATTACCTACGTTACCAAGTGTTTTTCTATTCTAAACCAATCTGTGAGTGCCAACATCACCAAGAACATGGAGGTAAGGAAGAAGAAAGAAGAAGGATGGGTTCAGCCCACTTTCCTCCATCTTAGAACTTCTGACCCCCATGTACAAAGTAAAAAACTCCCTGTACATGCACTAAAACCCCCCTGTACACTACCAAAAAATATTTCCCTCTACTTTGTGACTGCATTTACTACACTATCTAGCATTTTGTGACTGCCTGTTCCACCTTCAAAGTTGGTAATTCATTCCATGGTTCAAACTCGAAATCACAGCTAAATCCAGCTGCCTGCCGGGGTCCAGACTGCGTCTGACCACGGCCTGGAACCTCTAAAAATGTCTGAGAGACATTTTGAGTGCCCACAGCCGGGGGCTCCAGGCCGGGGGCTCCAGCCCAGCGGCCGGGCAGGGCGGCAGCAGCGATCTGCGGCCCGGCGGGGAAAGGCCCATTGCGGGAGGGCAGGGGAAAGGAAAGGCCCATTGCGGGAGGGCAGGGGAAAGGCAGCACCCGCCGCACGGCTCTGGCCCAAGGCAAGGAGCGGGGCCGAGCCCAGCCGGGAGCCGGGAATGGCAGCGAAGTGCCCTCGGGGGCAGCAGAAGCCTTCCGAAAAAGCGCTACAGCCCGGCGGAGGAGCGCCGGCAGCGGCGTGCCGAGGAGGGGGAGGAGGAAAGGAGGATGAGGAGGATGAGGCGGGGGCAGAGCAAACACGCACCTTGCCGTGCCGATCGGGCGGCGGCGCCGGCACAGCCCCGACCCCGCCGGCTGCGGACCGGGAAGGAGGAGCCGGCGCGGGGGAAAGGGGCCGGGCCGCGGGCCGGGACCCGCCGCCGGCCTCGGAGCCCGCCCGGGGCCAGGCGGGCCCGGCCCGGCGGCCTGAGAAGCGCCGTCCGCCACCGCCGGGCACTCCTGCGGGCTGAGACCTCCCCTGCGAGGGGCCGTGAGCGTGCTGGGGCGCTGGACGGAGCTGCCTCCCAAAGAAGTTGCGGATACCCCATCCCTGGAAATACTCAACACCGGCTGGGATGGGGCGCTGGGCGATGTGATCCCCTGGAAGTTGTCCTTACCTATGGCAGGAGATTGGATCGAGACAGTTTTTAAGGTCTCTTCCAACCCAAACCGGGAATTCTGTGACGCTGTGGTGATTCTGTGATTAATGTGATAGTGGTGCAAGGGCACATGGAAAATGGATGAAGCATGAGGAGTCTTTCCTGCTGGCTGCACGGTGGCAGCATCCTTCTGAGTATTTCAGAGCATGGCAGTTCTTGCTTGTGTGGTTCATTGATGTTTTCCAGCTAAGAGCCTTTCCTGCCTTCCCACTCCTGGGAACTGAGGCAGGGCCATTGCTCCTCAGATGGTGGCCGCCTGCAGAAGTAACATTGCACTCATTTAAATAAAGGTGTGTTTATAAAACACTTAGGTAAATGAGTGCAATTTCTTCTGTAGATAAGATCTTAAAAAAACAAACATGGGTCCTAATCTGCAAACACTTGAATTAAAGCTCTCATTCTATTTAAGTCAATGGGACTACCCAGGTGCTTAGAGGTAAGGGTTTTTTAGGATCAAAGCCTTTGGTGCATTTCCAAAAAGCTGCTGTAGCAGGAAGATATTGAGGAATTTCCCTCTAATATTCAACACCGTATTCCAATATTAATGAACTTTCTGCCTCAGTGAAATGACTGTTAGACTAATGAGCTTCATGGGTGTGTACCTTGAGGAGGGGTTTGAAACACATTATTATAAGATAATGGCTGTTCCTGCCAACCTGACTCCTCCACTTCTGTATTTGAGGTGACTCATTTGTATTTTTTCACTTGTATTTTTCAGTACAGCATCTGAACAGTATGTTTTTGCAGCTGGAACTTTGTCCTCTGAAACACACATCAGGGACCATACTGATGGGATGAAACAACATGTTTCTCAAACTGCCACAGTCCTTAAGAGTCCTGTTCCATTGAGGGTAACAAAACAACTGCTTCAACAAAAATGTTACACAAAGAAAAGGCTGTCGGAGATTTTCCTGTCTGGCTTCTCCTTTGCTGCACTTTCTGTATATTCTTTACATATAGTACCCTATAAGCTGTAAGCCTCCATCTAGTACTGTATCTCTGCAAAGAGATTATACAGTGATTAATGTGATAAATATGTCACTGAAAGTCATGCAAGCAAGTATTCTATCCTCAAAGTTTGGCTGTTACACCCACAACATCTTGAACTTAACTGCTAATGTACAGACTTCCTTTTCACTTTCAGCAAGAGAGAACACAGGACATGTCTTAATGAACATGCTCATGTAAAACTGTACTTGTAAGATATAAATTTAGGATTTTGTTCGATTCATGAGAATGATTTCATTTCATTTACTCCCTTAACAATTAAATCACTTCACCCAACTGGTTTCCCATTATTTTTTCGTTAATTAGCTTCCTTTGTTAATCCTTCTATACCAAAAAGTTGAGAGTCAGACCATCTTTTTTTTCTCCTCCATCAAATAGTCAGAAGGTTGGAGATATCTTGGTGTAGCTGCCATTAATCCCAGGTCAGAGGGTAGAGAATTCACTGCTTTAGTCTTCTGCTGTCCTTGCCGGAGGAGTGACAAAAGTTAAGAGGCATAACAGCAAAACCTAGTGCTCCACCCCTCTACAGCCAGCAACATGCACAAATCTGTTTACAGGTTTCAAACACATCAATACCCATTTAGCCTCGGGAAAGGTATTTCCCTTATACCCACCTCTTATGTGTTTTTCTCTATTTTGCATTATTCACTAAATACATACATTTGTTTACAACCTCAGGACTTTCAGATGGCTTGGTTTTCCCTACTCGGGACTGTAATTGTAAATCTGGGAGAGTCTGGAGCTGACGAGTCTTGTGATCAGTTTCCCAACTTTATAGGCTACTGTGCTGGGCAAAATGCCAGCCCCACCATCCAGAAATCATCTTTGTCATCCATCTTGCATACTCCTTAACTCATAAAGATTATCAGGTGCTTGAAGGTCTCTATGGATGCATCTTTACAAGACTGCTGTGATTATACTGCTAGAAACAGTGTCAGTCAAGAATTTACTATTAAAGAAAAGGATTAGATATATATGAATGTCAATAATAATCAGAATTATCTGATTGTAACTTGGTATTTCAAGGAATGAACTGGTACCTAGCTCCTGGAAAGGGGAATTCAACCTAAAATGAGGACATATGACACTACTTACTGCTGGATTTTTTCACCTCCTGTTATACAGCATATGAAGCAACTGGTGGAGTGTGCTGTTAGGCACAAAACACTCACTGCCTGAGCAGCTCCTGAATCTCCTCTGATGGAAATTGGTTGGTACGAAGCTTCTCCCTGCAAAGCAGGGGAAGTGGCATGATGCTACTTTGCTGTGCTTTGGTTTTCCATTCTATTTAGACTGCATGGCTATTGGAGCAAGAACTGCTTTGGTTGTTCTCCAAACTTTATTGAAATAGTCTCTAAAATGTGACTGTATTAAAGTAATAAGAAGAAATCACAAGCATATTCACATACTAATTATTATGCAAAGTAGGGAGGGGGAGGGAAGAAAGTATGAGATTCCTTTGAAAAGCTGCCAGCACAGGACCAAATACAAAAGGTGTTTGAAGTGGGAGCACACTGTACCAGACTGAAGAATTACCAATATGCCAGTTACTCTTGTTTAGGGGTATGCTCTCAATTTTCATTTTATGACATTTATTTACTTTAGTATAGCATTTTTTTATTTTTTTTTACTCAGTCTCCCAAACGTGTCCTCTAGGTCAACAATGGATTTTAGTACCACTACAAGATGTTTTCTTGTAAAGTTTTCTTTAAAAGTTTTTCTCTGTTGCTTTGCACTGTAGGCAGGTAAAAATGGACTGCTAATTAATGCAAACTTCAGCTTTTATTTCCTCTTTTTTTTTTTTCTTTTCAGTTAAAGCAGCTGGAAAGAATTACTTGTAAGTTTCAAAGAATAATTTTTCTTCAGTTCTTTGTAGAAGGAAGTATTTAAGCTTGATCCTGACTTATATGTCTCCATTTATGCCACCTAGCAGCAAATAAATATATTCTAGTAATGTACAGAACAGGGGAAAAAAGCAGGGACAATGTGAAAGAAAAACAGCAAGCACCTCAAAAGATGTATTTTTCTACAGAGGTCTGTTTGCTTTTCTGCTGCTGTGTCAGAGACTTGCTTATTTCAGGTATCAAGATCATATCATCAGGTGAGAACATCTGCCAGCAGTGGGCTGGTAGGGGGTCCTCGCTTGGGCTGCATTGTAGCTGCAGCCTGGCCAGTGCAATGCAGGTTCACAGTCAGAAGTCAGCCTTAGTCTCCTCAAGTTTCTCTGCATTGCTGATACAAGCCAACAAAAGTTGATACAAGCCAACAAAATGAGCCTTCTCCTGCCAAAGTTAAGTCTCCTCTCTGAATAACATCATCCAAAATAGCCAGCAGCAAAATGCCACTGTATGCCACTGCTCCTGGCAACTGCAAGCCCTTCTGCTGTTACAGCTTCTTGCAGAGAGGCACAGAGCATCTCCAAAAAACCATGGTGAACACACGTGCTCCAGGGACATAAAAATGTCTGCAACTCATGACCCCACAAAAGTTCTGGCAGCAAAACTTGCTACTAAAGACACAGTCTGGCAGGGTGATTTCTCCTGCAGACTATTACGTTTTCTTACTGGGGCAATGGGTTTGCCATACCACAGACAGAATTTTGGTAAAAATTGGTGGAACATGTTCCTACTTGAATCTCCTTATAAACTGTGTGACTTGTGCTGCCATGGAGGGAAAACAGAGCACGGGCACCTGATATGAAACCAGACATGCAAGGAACCCTGTTCATTCCTGTGGATTTTCAGTTTTCAGTAGCAATTGGCCCAGCAGTATACAAAAGTATTTGAATGTCTGACATCAATTATCCCATATTTGCATTAAAAATACCTTAAATACTGCCCTAAAGAGCTTTCCTTACAATGCAGCAATTAAATTACAGTTTCTCTCAAGAACTCTCTTCCCTAGAGCTAGCTTCATTCTTAGTATTTTAGCAAGGATAAAACCCAGGTTCAAATTTCTCAAAATCCAAATTTGACTTATTCCACCCATATTTGTCCCAGACAAGTTTAAATCCATGGATAGTTTTAAAAATGCAGATAAAATACATGTTTTATTTCTGGACTTGGCCTCAATTGAACTGTATTGAACAGACCCCTATGCCCATCACTGGAGGTGTTTAAGGCCACGATGGGGCTCTGAGTAACCTGGGCTAGTGGAAGCGGTCCCTACCTAGGGCAGGGGGGTTGTAACTAGATAATCTTTAAGGTCCCTTCTAACCCAGACCATCCCATGATTCTATGAACACATTATAGTGTTCATACAGGACGTGAACATAAAACCTCCCTCTAACAGGCAGATGGGAGGCTGAGTAGAAGTGTGACTTCTCTCAGTAAGCTTCAGCCAGCCATTTTACTGGGACGGGAAATGTTCTTGGAGTGGCAGATACTAGACAGATGTACAGAAACTCAGTGCTAAAATAGCTTGTTATCATCTGAACAGGCCCAAAGTGAGGGTACTTTATTTTGTGACAGGTTTTGAGCACAGACAAAACTCAATGTGTGGATTCATGCCTTGAGACCTAGCTTCACCAATATCTCATTCTAGGTTTAACTACAAGACTCTCAACAGGGTATTCAAGTTGCACATTAATCATTTAAACATAAAAAAAAATGTGAATCTGCAAAAGAGTTAATGTGTTACTTCCAAAACTAACTAAAATTTTGGAG